TTATTCCCAACGGCCCCGCAGATCAGCCCCGAGGGCCCATTGGAATTTTCTTCCCAACGGCCCCCGAATCTCTAAAAGTTTGAATTTGGGGGCCGTTGGGACGAGAAATTCCCAACGGGGAATAACGGGTTTTCACTGCATAAACGGCTATATCTTTTTTAACTTGAAGTTAGGTGCTTGATTTTTTCACAACTACTAGCGTTCATAAATTTGAGTATACGGTTTTAAATTCAACTCGATATCTTTACGTGTTCCTGAGATAAAGGGTCTTGACATGAGATAAAGGGTCTTGACAGAATGACAGACAGACGGACGGACAACAAAGTGATCCTATAAGGGTTCCGTTTTTTACCTTTTGAGGTACGGAACCCTAAAAACCTTGTAATTATCACTTTTTAAAAATTTTCACACATCTCTTACCTCATAACTGGTTGAATCACCTGAATGTTTGATAAAAAGATGGTGCCGTGCTTCGGAGAGCACGCTAAGCCCTCGGCCTCGATTAACTGGTAACCGGCGGCGGCCGTTACAAACATATCTTTGCATTGCATTTTAGTACCTACTAGTAAATAGTCGGTGTCAAAAAACTCTGACACCGGGTCATTTGGTCGTTTATCGGGTCTCTCACACGACATAAGAAGAACTTGAGATCAGTTTCAATCTCAAACCCGAAAGAAATAGCTACTGGAAAACCTTTCCAAAACTGTAGATTTTGCGCACATACCTATTTATGTCTTCAAATAAGTACAAAAATGTACTGCTTTCTTTTCCTAAAACAGACTAACATTTTGTCTTTAAATAGGTTCGTAGCAAGGAGGTAGCAAATGCGCAGGTAATGAAATTCCTTTGTATGCTTTCAAACGACTTACCTTGTTGATTATAGTCGAAGCTTATATGCCTATCGCGTAATTGGTTAAATACCAACTGACCGAACGGAAACCTTCTTTGTTGCAGTGCCCGTACTTGTGCATTAAATTTGAAACAAATATAGACCCTGGAGACAGTGGCGTCGCGGCGTAGTCTCTTGAACCGCGGACAAGAAAGTCTCCCGGGAGTTGCGTCGCGCACCTTCATACTAGCTCATTTAACTTGATGTCTCGCGTACCGTCTGTGTTAGCCTTTATGATTTGGGACAATTGACAATTTAGACAGCTTTCAATGTGGCGTCAATTTGGCAGTCACTTATTTGACAGCTTTGTATGCGGCGCATGTCACATTTCTTTGACAACAACTAATCGGTCGTTAAAAATCTAACAGGTCCCCGGAGCTGTCATTAGCTTTAACGCCCGATTTAGGACTTTGACAACCTTTTGAATCAAAACTGACAAAAGTGAAGCATTCGAAAACCATAAAGGCTTACATAGACTGTAGGTACTTGTTTCGTGCCGGACCAACACGGGGAGGAAAACTCAAAGCTTATTTCAGATTGCAGTACTACCTGGGAGTACGACGATGTTGATGCAACGACAACCAATGAGAAGTAACTAAACTTTGGCATTGACATACTTTCGACCTTATTGTGTCGCGCGTTTTGCAGAGTTTTATCTAATCAATAGTTCACGCTATCTTTCAAACTTATCATTCCCAACAATCCACTGCTGGACATGGACCTCCCCTTATCGGGGGGTACTGCCATACTCACCATGATTGGCAGGCGGATTGGCGAACGCAATGCAAGTTGTTTAATTAACTGGCGCTGGCAGGTAGCGATAGTAGACCCAAAACCCCTTTGGTTTTTGCTAAAAAGCCGAATCCAGTATTCTACGCTAAGATCCTGCCGAAGCTGACACGTAGGTATTTTGCCAGGTGGGGCCGCTTGAAGACGTCGCTGAGCTAATCCTTGAGCCTGAAATATACATCAGGGACAAGGAAAACGGTGGCGTGACCCTTGTAAACGCACTTTTTAGGGGCCCTTCAGAGGGCGTCCATAGCGAGACGGGGAGAAATCGACGATGTGTCACTGCTAGGCGAATCGTGGGTTCGTGCGGACGAACATCCTCTCGCTAACGAAAGCTGCGGTTGCTCAAGCCTAGTCTGGTAGTAAAGTGTAGCCTGCTCTCGTTGCGCAAGGCTCTAGAGTAGAGACCCGCTGGTGGGGGGCCGGGGTTGCCCTGAGGCCCCAACACTAGGCTGTCCCATGCTTGTATGATTTCAACTTTTGATACCTCTTGGGAATCGATAACTTGGAAATAAAAAATGACATACAAGGACGTGATACCCCAATTTTGGGGCTTATGATGGGGGCTTAAAATGTAATTTTGAGGGCACAGTAAGCGTACAGGCACAAATATCTCCTATAGTCCTGCAAGTTCGTGCGCGACCCTCCCTAGGGGTGACAGACGTTGGGGAGGGAGATGTCAGCGGGTAGCGGGAGGTGTAGCGGGGAAGGGAAACGCGCGCATCCGCGCCGCACGTCATATTAAAATGACGTGCTTACTCGCCCCCCAACCGTCTGTACCCCGCAGGAAGGTCGCGCACGAACCTGACGGACATTAGAAATGTATATCTATGACTACGGCAATTTGACGTGGAGATCTTCGCAACGGCCGCATAGAGGCCGACGACGACTCACCTTCAAGACTGAGCTTTATATGGTAGGGGTTGAATTGCTGTAGTTAGCCATGCACCTGTCCAGGTGTCTTGCAGGCGAAACATCACGCCGTTGCGAGATCTTACCAGTTTAGGTGATACCCCATTAGGAGGGAGGCCCAAATTGTGCTCATCAGCTAGCGGCAACTTGGGTTTGGAGGGCGTGGCTGCGGAAGATGTCACGTACTTTCGTAAATGGGTGGGCTGCATCACGAAGACAAGGTGGCTCATCCGACTGCGGCTGCTTTAAAGGGAAAAGTCGTGACACCGTCGCCCTTAAGCGCGTATCGTTCATTTAACAGCGTGGAGATGGCGACAGTCACATTTAAAACGTTGTATGCACGCCAGCCTTACTATAGCGGCGTGGCAGCGGAGAGGCTCAGCCTTTTTGCATGTGATACGTAACATATTTCTCCCAGGACATCAAAACATATTTTCTATTAGAACCAAATTCGCGCCGCGCAGCTCCTCTACCGATTATTATCAACTAAAATATATTCTCCGCAAGTAAATATGTTGCGCCACACCACGCCAATCCTCTGCAGCGATATTGTAGTGTGATTTTAGATCCATGTAACAATATTAGTAAAGTTGTAACGCGCAGCTTCGCTGCAGTTCCGCGCGGTGCGTTAGTGCGGTTTGACCTTTATTTATTTAACGAGCTTCAAATTAACTAACATTGCATTGATGAAACTAGCACTAAGCCCTCTACTTCTTGCTGTGTAACAAGATGGATAGAAAAACATACCTTCAGAGAGAAAACACGTTTTTATTTAAAAATACAAACTCATAAAATCCTATCACCGTCCAACCCTAAGCCCAACTACAATTCCCCTAGAAACAACCAATGTTTTACCGCAAAAAAACTTGTACATTACTGCGGTAAACTCGCCGCCGAGATAGCTTAATTTCCCGTGGGAATCGGTGAGGGAAATTAGTGTCAGCATGTGTAATGCGGCTAGATAAGGAATCACATATGCTGGGTGTGTTTGCTTTGGTGGTAAATCTACGTGTTATTTAGCTGGGTTGGTGTAACAAACTTTAGTACCTCGAGATATATTTAAGGTACCAGAGATTTACTACGTCATTTCCACACAGATTTAAATAAAAACAAACACAGATAGATCTCTTATTCTTTTTCTGTCTGAAAGGAATAGATAATTACAGATTTTTGACCATTTACAGATTGCAACTTCCAGTATGCTGCTAGATAAAATTCACTATCACTCTATTAAAAGGGAATCTAAAAAGTGGCTAAATGATATTCCACTGAAACAAGAGCGCAAGCGCAATGCACGTGTTAGAAACTAATACATTATTCGTCTCATCATTCACTGAAATGCCTCTAAAGCTTTTCGACTATAAACAGTTACAGCCAAAACACCATTACTAACCCAAAATTGTATTAAGTAATAAGCAAACTTAACAACATCGTAATGGTTTAACGATAGAAGTCAGGTAACGGTCGTCTGCCAACTTAACCCATATTTCATGAATTACGCAGAGATTGTATAAAAACAACGTCTTGGGGATAGTTTTCCTGGCACGATCCTTGAAGATTACGGTTATTTGTGTTTTAACGGTTTTACAAGTTTAACGGATAATGTTTTGGTCAAATGGCTGTAAGTATAGGCTAAACGGTAGGACGGAATAAAGTTATCTTTTCATGAAGGGTCAATATGCAGATTTTAAATAGATATCACGGTTTTATCCCATTGGGATTGGCAAAGCGTCAATGGCCGTAAAACAGACCTTGGTCACTACATTTGTGCATTTTCTAAATTAGACTTCTTATGACATCCGCACGACGTTAATATTGTTTATAAAATTGACTGTACAGCCTATCCAAAGAATAAACTGCATTGGATCGTCTGTATTTTCTCTGTTTATTTACCTTATATTAAAAATCATCTAGGTATGTGTTGCAGAGATGGGCAAAAATTATTCACCGAATAAATTGCCTGGCGAATAAATTTTTCACGAGTAAAATATAGACAAATGGCAATGATGACCCTAAAAAAACTTTTGATAGAAATTGAGAGTACACAAGTATCTTGTAATAAAGAATATAAAAAACTTGCATTTTATTCCTTGTTCAATTAACTTTATTCGCCGGGCAATTTATCCGGCGAATAATTTTTGCCCATCTCTGTGTTTGTTTTTTTTTTTTTTGCTACTGGACTCTACATTAATCGGTCCCGGGACCGCTAATAACTACACCTGACTATTTGGTGACAAAACACCTTTCTTTTATTGTACCATTTTATGCAAAAATCTTTATTATTATTTTACTAAGATGATAGTTTTACTGTATTGTTCTACTAAAACTGTCATAGATGGCGCTAAGCTACCCGTAAGTAGTCAAGTGACAAAAATATATGAACGAAGCAAGTGTCGCTGCCTGGGCTAGAGCCTCCGTGGTGTAGCGGTCAACATGTCTGACCCGGCTTGTCATAAGACGTGGGTTCGAATCCCATCGGTGGCGTGATTTTTTCCGCTTGCTTCGTTTGTAACCAAAAAGTTAATATTACTAAGATGATATTTATTCGCTTCCTTCCTTGGCATTGGGCACATTGCCATGTGTGTGTCTGTTTGTAACGGATCTGTTTTGTTACAGGGCAGAGGGTACGGATCGGATTACCAGCAAGGGCAGAGGGCGCGGACAAGGGTGAGTCCATATTATTATTAATTGTTTAGTTTCGCATCATGTACGCGCGCGAATGCGATTTGAGTTTCGCTCTATTTCGTCTGTCGTTGTGCGGCCCCCGCGAACCACGCGGCTGGCGTTATAACCTCTCACATTCCTCATTCGCTCGGTTCCCGTGTGCCCGCGGCCGGCGTCGGGCCATTGTAAATGTAATTTTTGGTGTTCTTTTATTATTTCGTGTGTGTAATTTCCACCAGGGAAGAGTTCCCTGTTCGATGTGGATCCTTTGTTATTCGCGTATTGAGCAGTGAACGTTTTAGTGCTGTCGCAAACTGAACAATAGTGGTTATGAAAATCTTCGGTTGTTTGTTGGAGGGAAGGATTTCGAGATCGAGCGGATGTCCAATATAGTGAGTTTAGGTTACTCTCTCTTCCTGTGTTCCTCAAATATCCTGATACCTGTTTCCTGTCATACCTAGACTCACAAAGGAACGGCGTCATAATTCGCACGGTGAGCAATTCGCTGGTAGTTGTATAAGTACTTTTTTTGGTAGTGATTTAGCAACATTACGTGGAGGTCACCACCTTGATGACCTTTAGTACAACCGGAACTTGGTACATATACTTTAGATATGAGCTGCGATAGTTCGGTAAAATATTAGTCATCTTGTAGGAAATTAAGGGCCGTCACAGACATCGGAAACAAAAATTTCTCAACAGGAAATTTTATTTTCCGGAACAGAAAATTTTCTCATTAAATTTATTTTATTTAGCTATAGTAAAGAGCTCTACGAATCGTAGTCAAATGTTGTTCCGAGGCTGATCGACCATTTAGTTTTAGATTTTAAGATAACGTTAATTTGCTTCCACTGCGCTAAGATCAGCTTCGGAATCAAACATTAATACTAAAACGAAATATGTAAATATGTAAATGATTGAAAATAATAGTCATTAAAATATACCTGAGTCTGATATGTGTCGGCGCGCTTATTAACTTTTCAGGTAAGTCGATATTGTGTGTGTGTTAAAATTTAACTAAGACTACACAGAATCGACTAGATATTATGCCAGCTGCTAATCCAGCTGCATCTTTGCAATGTAACTATCCAACTCATACACAAACAAGCTATAGAGTGCGCATATTGCCCCGCGCAAAAATTTCAAAGGTAAGCAGTTGTTCCAATAAAACTTACGTCAAATTTCTGAGAAGTAATAGAGATATAACCGCCCAATTGCTCTAATCTCACTTTTGTAACATTGAAGGTTTTGTAACAAGTCCTCTAACATTCATAAAATGAAATAAAACCACAAAACAGTAACATTTCATGTCCTAGCTATGTTTACATTCATGAAACACGAAAATAAAATGTCAGGGAACAAAATAACATGTTTCGAGCCGTCTTACATATCCAACTCAATTGCAGAACACGGACTATTTTGTCAAGCTACGTTTCAGCATAGACTTAAGAATTGCAGAAGACTTTCCTTCGCTAAGACAAAACGTGTTATATAAACAATCTAAACTTTAAGTTTGCCACTACAAATTGATGATGACAAAAAGCGTGTAGCTGTTAAAGTGATACGTTAGCTCCCCTACTACGTAGTGAAATCAGGAATTTTAGATAGTATAGGATATGATTCGACAACTTAGGCAGAAAAGCATTGCTGACATAATCGAAGATTCAATATTTTGCTACTGAACTATACTACCTAGTTGCTCTGTCAAAAATCTCAAGAATATCAAAACAGCAAAATCTGATACAAAAACGTGATATGATCAACAGATATGATTTTGAGCCAATTTTAATCCAAGAAATATGACGTTCGTGGCAACCACCTTATTATAGTTACCTTGAGTTGTCCTGAAATTCCAGTTAAAGTCAGTAAGCGTGACTAAGTACACACAGGTACCTTTAATAGCTTGGTGTGTCAATAGACAACAATAAGCTTCTAAAAAGTGGTAAACGCCGCGGACGAGGTTGTAAGTAGAGTTCATTTTTTAATCCCGGTCGCTTTGTATATCTCCCTACCTACTTACACGCTGTTTTCTTTGCAAGTCTCCACATTTTCTCTGCTCAGTGGTTTTGCCTAACAAATTGGCTCCATGCACGCTCAGACGACACGACATGACGACTACAACGGCGCCTTAATTAAGGGGGCGTGCTCTAAGATTAAAAGGGTTCCGTATGCTGACATTTATGGAATAGAAATCATGCTTTTCACTTTTTGTGTCAAGCCCGCTTGTTGTACGTGCTACTTAATTGAGAAATATCTCTGAATTGGTATGGGTTTACTGGCAGGGAAATTTAAGTAAAAGATCGTTTAAATGAGGTTAAAATTAACAATGTTACGTGCCATGGACCGGTTTGGTCCCAAGGCAGTATCCTTATTGAATATTTTATCCCACCAAACTGGGGTTTTCTTATCACAGCCAAACTGAGCTTTTCTTAGGACCTAATAGTTTGTAAGCTCTCACTGTCTCTCTTTTCGTGTAGGACACCAAGTCGTGCAACGACCCGATTAACTCCGTTGATACAAAATTATATGTAGTTGATTGACTTCTGTTTATGTGTCCTTAAGAACGATTATTACGGTCAATCAGTCTGTTAAGCTTCCTTTGTCCTAAAGAAAGTGGAAAAAATATGATAATTTGGCAAAGTACCAAAGTCACCATATATCCAAGAATCATACCAGACACTTCCGGTTTCTGCATGAGATCAACGCTTAGGTATACTCTACCACGCAGGCAGTTTCAGGCAGTCAGCATTAAAATTCAATAATACGTGACATACCATCGTCCCACGTCCCACGCGATACACCTAAATGAAATAACAAACAAATTATTTTCATTATGTTGGTATTTCCACCCACACTCATTTCTGAGGGCAAATTAATCATTCCCTTTGCTCCGCTCGACGGAAAATTGTAGAGAAAAAGCGGAATATTTCCGAATTGCGTCTTCCGAGCCGCTGGATACGTCTTCGTGAGTTAGCATCCCGAGATATTGGGAGCGGAATTGATTTTTTGTACTGAGACAATGGTGCTCAAACTTTGAGATCTCAGTAAACTGAGGAGGTCCAGACTAAATATAAAAAAACGCAAAATATTAGACGATATTACACTTCGGTCTACCTTCGATCTGATCAGAACTGCTTACTGATGCGGTACTCAAAATCTAAATAAGATTTCAGTTTTTGTTAGGACTGCCGCCTTCAGACCGGACGTTTTACGCGAAAACTTTTCACAAGCTTTTTCCAGCGGCACCCAGTGACCACCGGCGAAATTGTAGAGAAAAAGCGGAATATTTTCCGAATTGCGTCTTCCGAGCCACTGGATACGTCTTCGCGAGTTAGCATCCCGAGATATTGGGAGCGGAATTGATTTTTTGTACCGAGACAATGGTGCTCAAACTGTGAGACCTCAGCGAACTGAGGGGGTCCCAGCGACCCAGCGACCACCGGCGACGTTTGTCATTCTTGCCAATGTCAACTTCTTTGGAATCAATTGCCAATGTCAAATTTTTTGCTCCGCTCGACGGAAAATTATAGAGAAAAAGCGGAATATTTCCGAATTGCGTCTTCCGAGCCGCTGGATACGCCTTCGCGAGTCAGCATCCCGGGATATTGGGAGCGGAATTGATTTTTTGTACCGAGACAATGGTGCTCAAACTGTGAGATCTCAGCGAACTGAGGGGGTCCATGTATAACGCTAACTCTTAATAAAATTGGACTATAATACAATTCGGTCTATCTTAGATCTGATAACAACTTTTTACTGATGCGGTCAATGGATGCGGTACATGAAATCTAAATAAATTTTTCATTTTCTATTAGGACCGCCGTCTACAGACCGGACGTTTTACGCGCGAACTTTTCACACGACTCCTCCAGCGGCGCCCAGCGACCAGCCGCGACATTTATCATTCTAGCTAATGTCAACGTTATTGGAATCACAATCATGTCAACTTTATTGGAACTTTATTGGAATCACGATCACAACACAATAGAGTAATTGTCTTAATCTTCTGAGAAGTTCGCAAAAAATGTCCGGCCTGTCTGCGGCGGCCCTTAGCATTGTTAAAGTCGGTGCTAAAAATGAGAGATTTACTTATAACAATCATTCAGAATTCTCATTGAGATATAAAAAAAATATTAGTCTATGTGCCCCAAAAGGTACTTACTTTCGCTTTAGCAAATGTAAATTAATTAGTGAAAAATCTGTTCATAAATATACTGTTATATGCAGCCACAACAGTTGCCACCATGATGTTTGCCTTTTTTACCGTATATGTTTATCCAACTTTGAGAACCTCTGTACTCAAGTACTGAAGATAGATTCAATATGTTACTCGAGGTAATGCGAGTTTTCTGTTTGACCTGTTTAATACGTAAATACTTACAAAATATCTTGTATTACGTTTTATTTTCCATTTAAGCTGTTTGCCTGTTATTGGGCCATGTAATGCCGGCTTAGAACAGCATCACCCCATTTCGTTTTTACGAATTTCGTTAACTCATAAGCTGTAAGTTGGAATATAATGAAAAGGAAAGTTTTCAGTGAGTTGTTATTTTAGGCGACGGACAGACTGACAACTTGTCACTAAAGTGTTACTCATTTCTTTCATGTCTATATTTTAAAAATAAACCTAGTCTGTTTTTTACAGCAGTTTTACGCTCTGTCTTCCTCGCAAAGGAAATAGGCGTGATGTTTGTATGTCAGTATGTTAATCTGTTTACCTTCCTTCTCGTTAATTATTGTTGTCTAACGAAATCCCGCCACACTCATTACCTGAACCCTCTTACTCACAAACCCTGATGATGATTCAATTCTTAACACGT